ACACACATATATACATATACACACACGCATACATATACACATACACACACAGTAATATCTCGGTTCACGAACGCTTCTGGGCATTGTATTTGTATTGCATTTGCCCAACAGAAAGTTCGGCAAAATTTTGCTTTCGTTCACGAACTCCACATTTGGTGACAAACCCAACCGCAGGAATCTTTCCCGCTCTGACATGTGGTCATGTCTTCTGCTAGCCGAGATCACGGTCGCAGACAGACCTCTGCACACTTGTTGTGAAGCTTTTTTGTGTGCTGTTTAGCACATACAGTACTGTACAGTATTATTCAATCCAGCATGGCTCCAAAGAAAGTGCAGAGCAAGCATGGTGGTAAAAAGAAAGTGCAGAGCGGTAATGAAGGTAACCAGATTGTGCAGAAAGGTAATGACCTTAGTAACCTTATTTACATTGAACCTTATGGGGAAATTTGATTCGGTTCGTGACCAGAATCATGGAACAAATTAAGTTTGTGAACCGAGGTGCCACTGTATACATACACACATTATATATATATTACATATATATATATATATACACATACACACACACACACACACATTTAATACCCGCTGAATGCTTTCTCCGTAGCGTTCACAGTAACTCTTGAACCCTGAAGTAACGATAAAAGTACAAAAACAAAAAGGATCAGACACAGTTCTACAAAAAAAAAAACATGAAATATTTTGGGCAGAATAAATTAAATAACTGTTTTGTCTAGATTAGATTCATAAACGTAAAAAAAGGGATATGTAGTCTCCACAAAGATATATTGGAGGCTTTTGCTTGCACTATTTTAAAGATAAATAACAAATCCACCATGTTTTAGGCCTAATAAAATGTTTATAAGGACAACAGAAATAGGGCAGAACTATAAAAACCTCCCCCTCTGCATAACATAGAGGGGGAGGGTTCTGTCGATGGCATCCATTTAATGACAGTGTGAGTCAACAATGAATATCCTATTCCATAGTTCAGTAGCCAAAACACTAGTTTGGTCGAAGATAGAAGGAAGCAGTAATAATATTCATGCCATGCCCTCCTTCCCCTTGCCCAGTGCTTTTTCACAAATTAATACAGCTCTTGAAAACATGATGATATGTGTGCTAGAGAAAAGAGAAAAACAAGACCCTCTGAAATGACCAATCACTTGTTTTACTTTACTTATTTTACTTCAGTCTTGTTTTGGATTGGTGTTTATAAGTGTATCGAAACTCAAAAATGCACATTTTATATATGGCAGCTTACCAGTTCTTAGATGTGGTGGCTGCATAAGTTTTCTTTTGTTCAAGTTGTTTTAGGTAAATTTCAATTGGTGATGCTGCCAATAACACACTTTTTGTCCTAAGGTGACACTGTACTGTATATATGGAGAAGAAGTCTTGTCACCTTAGTACAGGAAGTGTAGTAGTCCTGAAAAACACCTACTTTATACGTGTTTCATGTTCCCATTCACATAGCAAATATTAAAAAATTGCTGCTTACCTTTTACTTGCAGAGCAATCTTACTTAGCTTCCCCTTCTAAGTAATGTTAAGGAGGGTGTTGTGGAGTTATGTTTACCATAATAATGACTCTGTCTGCACTGTGCTGCAAACCTTCATTATCAGCTGTAAACTAGATGTGCACATTGTTTGCCCAAACAAAGGTTAAAGATCTCAAGGCTTGGGTGGTTCATTGTATGTTAATGCACTTTTAAAAATTGTCCTTTAATCTGTCCCTTAGTTGCACATTGCATGCTATTCCAAACAATGGAAGCTGCCTATTAAGCCCTATGTATAATCCTGCTCCAAAGAAACCACTAATAAGTATTTATTTAAATTATTTTAGATATGCTGTGTGAATATGAACGCATAACAAACATATAATGGGGGTTTCTGAAATTTGACTGCACCAGAGGTGTAGACACATGCCTTCTTAATTCATCCCAACAGTACACACATAAATCTGATGCCAAAGAAAAGGGAGATCGCAGCTCATTCTTTTCGCTAAGAATCTTTATAGTTTTTAAACAGGCTTATTTATATGGTTTTATAAACTAGGTGGCCTTATTTTTATCCACAGAGTGTAGTCAAGTAGTTTGATTTAACCTGCGCCCCATTGAGGAGATTTACAGGTTACCTTTCAGGGGCAGGTTTAGGAAGCTCTGACAGAATAATAAAGCCCTACAAGCAATAAATGTGTACCCATCAGCATTCATTTCGTTATGACTGAGAAGTTCTGGGAGGATTTCAGGAGACATCAGCTGTGGAATCTGTTCACAATGCTATCAGGTGAAACTATTAGATGTTATTGTACAACTGCCCTTGTTACAATAAAGGACAGATTCTTCTTTCCTTGGGCTGCAGCTTTCGGGTCTATTCATTTCTCAGGTTTCTATCTCATCAGTCCGCTGTTCTCAATGTCCCCTTTAGTTTGTCTTTAGGATTTAGTCCAATTCACCTTTTAACCAGGTTTCTAAGGATATTCAAGCGTTTCCCATTGTGTAATAACACAGAAAGTAGTAAAAAAGGAGTTCATAATAGTGGGCTCACTCCAGTCAATATAGGAAATCCGTTGGCTCTATGTTATGTTCTGAGCTGAAGTTAAAGTCAGGTAAAGAAAACACATGAAGGGGAAAAAATCTAAAAAAACAGAGCACCATTATCTCGGTATGTTAGAGTGGTCATAAAGGGTCTAAGTAAGGAAATTGTAAGAAAGGAGCAAATGTAGATTTTCCAAATCACTGGAAAATCAGTTTGTGAGTATGCATGCAAAAGGGAATGTCACCACACACACATACATTGCATTGCATTCATGAGGCTGATTTCGGGTGATCGCCACCACGGGCCTTGTGATGAGGGTAAGCATACACCTTGGCTCCTACCATTCTTTATGAGGCCTCAGCCTGTTTATGGCTAGCGTTAAGCTGGCCATACACTATAATCATTTTCTTCATTCAACCTGCAGGCTTAACAAAGTAAATATACAGATTCCTCCATCAATGCTAATGAGCGTCGATTGAGGATATTCCCACTGTGTTCATTGTTTTCTGACAGTGGCCAATACAATCCCTTTTTCACAAAGTAAGTGTACCTGTAACCTACACCCAGTGGTGTTAATATTTATGATGGATTAAGATCTTAGCGAGGCCATACACAGGCTGACATTTTAAAGGAACCAAATGACTATCGGAAAATATTGGCTGATATATATTTCCAACATACAGTGTTATTTTGTTACCGCCACTGTGAATGATTTTTTTCATTCCAGTTTATAAGCAGGCAGAACATGAATGTCTGTTGTAAGCCTGCAAGTGTAGGGGAGATTAGAATCAGGAACCAACAACTAATTTTACCTTACATAATATAACTGCATGTATATTATTATCAATCATTCACAGCATGAGTATTTCCACCCTTAGGGCCCTGGCAAATTAGCAATCCACAGCTAGTGTTTTCATTAACGAGGGAGCGTCATCTCATTCACCCGGACCAGCAAGGGAGCGCCGCATGGAAACAGGCTATATTTTCTATACACTTCAGCTGAACAGGAAAGTGAGCTGAATTGGAGAATTTTTCCAGATCAACTATTTTGGCCTAGAGTGCTCACTTCTCCTGCCTTCTCCAAACTCTTTGCCCTTATGTGAATAGCCCCCTAAGTGTTTTTTTTAAAGTAACACTAAACTCAAGATCTATACATTTTTAAAATTTAAATAAAAAAAAATTGTAATCTTAAAAATGCGTTCAAGTACCTTAACTATTAACAGAAATGTATCTTATTTGTGTATCACTCGGCTGTAGATCCTCAAATAATCTCTGAATTGGTGCCGACACTGTCCTTCCTTCTGGAGGTTGGCTACTTTTCTTTTCTATGTTCCCTGTGTGTGCTGTAAAGTAGCCACCGCTCCACGCTCGCTCCCGTTATGGACTAGAATATCGGTACAAATTAGCAAACTAAACGCGAGATTGTAGTCCATCACGGGAGCAAACTGGGAGCGCATGATACACAAATAAGCTACACTTTTGTTAATAGATGGGGTACTTGAATGCATTTTTAAAGTTTAGCTCCCGAGTTTAGTGTCACTTTAAATGTTCAATTCACAAACAAGACAATGCTTAGGTGTGGAATTAGTAGTTTTTAACTTGAAAATAGCATTGCATTGTTTAAAGCTTTATTTTTATGTGAATCATCATTTAATCTCACCGCCTCAAACAGCTCCATTTCCTGTTCTTTTCAATAAATACCTAAATTATAACTGACAGTTATCAGCAGTCTGAAGCGGACAGCAATATAAAGGAGCAATAACCCAATGTGATAATTAAATAAATGGACTTATATGGTCATAATACCCCCAATTCAATAAAATAACACTTGAGCAATATATTCAGCAATATATTCAGGTTTTTTTGCATCATGCCTATATTGAATTGACAAACAGCTGCACATCAAGTAACTGCAGTGCTGTATTGGAATAGCTTATTTCTTCAGTGCATTTTTCAGTGATTTCTCCCTTACAGTCATATACTTCAGCCTTCAAGAAACACTGCAAGCTGCTATTACTAGCCTCTCCTTCTGAAGCGGCTATCACCTGGCTGTCATACTGATCGAATATCTTCCATGTTTCCTAAGTTATGCACAAAAATATTCAGATCAGGAGTTCTGACCTCACATTGACTTTCAAGTCAATGACTCTACTTCAAATTCACTAAAAAACCCCACTGGAGGAGCTCCCATTGCTTCAAGGAAGCCGATAGTAGGGATGAAAAGGATTTTGAGATTTATTATATTTGTTACTAGTGGGAATCACACATTTTCAGGATGCCAGCAAAATGGCATGCAGACACTTAGAGCCTTATTCAATAAGCAGTACAAAAAAAGCTATCTTTGAAGATGACCAAGCCACTGCAACCAATCAGAATTAAATTTACCTAAAGTTAGAAGAGTACAAAATTAAATCTGATTGGCTGCTAGGATTACTGCACTATGATCCTTGCAGTGTATTTATAATAAAGTCTCATCTCTCAATAGAAAGAAAACACAAACCGAATATATTTGTTACACCCCATGCTTTATGAACTGCGATTCCTGGATGTCAGAACAACTTTTGGAACTTCAGGAGAGGTACACACTTTTATACAATTTACTACAACATGTTTTGCTCATACTTAATAAAAAAGGCAGACTCCCACTTATTAAATACACAAGCACATAAAATAGAACACTAAGATATGTTATAATGTGATTAAATACTATGCATTTTTACAGAGGGTGGAGGCAGGCTAATGCTGATTTCTAGAGATTATGACTTAATAATGCACTTTAATAAAATACTTTAATTATTCTACTTCAGCAGTAAGCAGTGAAGAACATGTTGCAGGACATACACAAGCGGACTCCACCCAAATGGTTTGGGGACGAGATGATTTGGGGAGGAAGAACTGTAACCCTGACCCATTTCAGTCCCTCTAAAATAAACTACACCGTGTACATTTCTCCTGCATTGCATTAGGTAGGCTCTGTCACAGGGTTTCCGGCTAACATCTATGGTGATAACTTTGGACACACACTGCGCAGAAGAGAAATCAACATGAAATTGCTTGTGGTGCCAATTGTTTAGTGATAAAGTAGTAGCACAGGGTGAAGCCAGACCCTGCAAGTGACACATAAGGAGCTTTGTGATTCATCCTTAAGGCTGGGTTCACACCTGGGCGTATTTTTTCTGCTCGTTTTTTAGCACGTTTTTCCGTTCAGTGAAATGCGCGTTTCACTGGCGGTATGATTTTTTGTGTGTTTTTTTTTCTTATTTTCTCTATTTTTAAATGTAAAATTTTTTTCACTTTAATACAGCTGAAATCTAATTCAAGATTAAAAAAATACAGATTGCCTTCATCAGCGAGAACCTTTACATACTGCAACAGTTTGTCCAACTTTATTCTGTGTGTGCAAATGATAACATTGAGAGATGGGTAGTGCAAAGTGTTGTATGTATAGTGTATATGTCATGCGGTTCTATTCCTCCCCTGTCTTCCATTTGCCCAAAAAATAGAATTCAAGATATTAACAAGCACTTACAAAGCCATCCACAACTCTGCCCCAGCTATATCTCCAACCTCATCTCAAAGCATCGCCAAGCCATCCTCTCCGCTCCTCTCCAGACCTCCTGCTCTCTGGCTCCCTCGTCAATGCTTCCCATGTTCGCCTACAAGACTTCTCTAGAGTATCTCCCATCCTCTGGAACTCCCTACCCCTAACCTGTCTGGCTGTCTCCTACTTTGTCAGCATTTAGGCGATCCTTGTAGACTCATCTCTTCAGGGAAGCCTATCCCACCTCAACCTAACCGCTGAACTATTACTCTCTCAAACAACTAATTTACACATAGTTCCAACCTTTTTTTATCACTTGCCCCTCCCTTTTAGATTGTAGGCTCTCATGGACAGGGCCCATCTTGAATTGTATTGTAAGTGTGATGTATTGTAGAGCTGTGCAAACTGTTGGTGCTATATAAATCCTTTATAATAATAATGATTGCAGATCCATTTTTGTCAATAAGCAGCACAAACATTACTTGAATGAAATTACTCAGAGGGAAAATGCAGATGCAAGAACTGCAGATGTAATGCAGATGAAATGCAGATGTAACTGTACCTGTAACTGTAAAAGTGTGAAACAGACCTAATTTCCAAAGAGCACAGACCACCTGGTGAGCTCCTGACATGGATGAAAAATGGATGTCAGGAAATGTGGACCATTTTGGGATCTGATTTTCCAGATCTGTACAATAAATCCTACAGTCTATGTATTAACCTTTCCTATATGACATACTTGCTTGTTATTAGCATTTGTCCCAGTGGAATAGGGTGTGATCTCACCTTCTGCATTAAGATGTGCAGTTTCCAAAGGTCCAAGAAAAGCATATCTCATCCCAAGACCTTCAGACATGACAATGTCCACATCCCTTGGTGTTATCACTTCATCCTGTAAAAAAATATGCAAGCTGAGCAACTAAAAAAAGCCTGTGAAACCATTGTATATAACCAATGTATTTAAACCATTTCCACTTGTAGAAACCACAGACATAAATGTACCTATATAGTTAAAGCATTGTCTACAAAGCTGTTGTACTTTACTCCAGCATGGTTTCCCTAAAATCTGGAGCAGAGCCATAAATTAAACAGCTCACAAGACCTGCACAGATCACCATTACTGTCTGTACTTAGGGGGATTCTAATGCTAGACTATTTGTGAACACAGGCATTACTTTTGTAAAAGTAGCAGTGACATCATTACCAGGCTGCACATAGCTAGCAGGCCCAACCACTACAGACTGCCTGCACATAACTACTATTGCACAGAGGGCAGATACAAGACTATTCATTCTGCACAAGGACAGAAAGCAGCAGAGACCGGTCATTTTTACAGTAAACTCCTGCACAGAGGTAGAGTGAAGGAGTTGTTTTCATGCTGGATTACTGAACAGATCTGGTGGAAAACACAAGATAAATAAACATTCAAGTAAAAGTAGTATAAGAACAGACCGCACTATCCAGAGAATTCCAATACTTCAAACTTTATTGAAATTCACAGCAAATCCAGTGTAACAGTGAAAAAAAGTGTATAAAGCAACAAATGCCAGCGCAGCACACCCCCAACCAGCTACAACCTCTCACATGTTTCACCCGAAGCCTTTTTCATGAACAAGCCAACGGGTGAAACATGTGAGAGGTTGTAGTTGGTTGGGGGTGTGCTGCGCTGGCATTTGTTGCTTTATACACTTTTTTTCACTGTTACACTGGATTTGCTGTGAATTTCAATGAAGTCTGAAGTATTGGAATTCTCTGGATAGTGCAGTCTGTTCGTATACTACTACATTCCAAGGTGGAGACGCACCTATAAGACCAGCACCTGGGAGTCCTGATAGCGGTTAAGGAATTGGAGCGGTGAGATTTCCTTTGGCTCTACATTCAAGTTAAAGTGCTCATGCATCTTGTATTTACACAATAAGTGCTTAGCCTTGAGTTCAGCTTTAAGAACATTTTAGAACAGGTTAATGAAATGCAAAGTTTAGGTTTTTTCCATGGCCACCAGTAAGGCTCCTATTATGATTTTCCTAGTGAGTGTTATGTCTTTTTCTGTTTAACCTCTACTTCAGGCTTTCATGTATAAATCTGTAAATATGGTTTTGGGCATGAACACTAAAAAAGGGCTTCAGCGGCTCCAACTTGGAAATCAGTAGTGCTATGTGCTGTGACTTTACAACCACAGCTACCATCCTAGATATTCAATACCCAAAACACTGTCAACGTCCACTAGAAAGGAATTGGAACAAAAGTATTTGAAATGTCCACACTTCTGCCTTTCTGGAACCATAACAATGCACACACATTCTATGGTGTGGGTTGGATTCAGCTATGAACAGAGTCTGAGCTCTAGTAATAGCAGTGGCGGAACTACCAGGGTGGCAGAGGTCAGCCGTGACCAGGCCCTGGAGTTCCGCCACTTGGAGGGGGCCCAGGACAGGGGGGAGGGGCCCCTGGTGACCGCTGATTACCAGGATATTTATTATCCTGGTAACCGCAATATCGGGGCCCTGAGGTCACTAGTTATAGCCATCATTGTTTCACATGAGCATATCTTCTTGCCACATTTCCACCTCACCTGTCTGTCAACAACGGGAACTTACAGGGTATCTACACAGGGCTGAATTTGGTGCCCTAATGTGTAAATGACCTTATACAAGATTACCTTTTCTACTAAAGATGAAATAAATGAAAAATGCTGCAGATATTGATATATAGAGAAAAGCTGCCTCTTTGTCACTGCTGCCTATAGGCACATGTCTACTGAGTCTAATGGTAAGCCTGGATCTGCAGTATGGAGTGTTTGTTAGTGGATGGATTTACATAATGGGCCTTTCTTTTTTTTTTTTTAAAGGACTTGTCAAAAACTGTGTGCTATGTTTATTTATTATTTTATGGAGTATTTTGTGAAAACTACCACTTAGTAAAACTAAGTAGTAAAACTACCCCTTACTCATCCACGAGGGGGAGGGGCGGTATCTGGGTGTCCCTTTTATGAAAGGGGGCACCCAAATTCAGGTAATCCCCCTTTAGGGTGCCCCCTAAAATTCCTACCAGACATAAAGGGTCTGGTATGAATTGGGGGGGGGGG